AAAAACTTAAGTCTTTTAAAATTCGGATCTAGAATTAAGCCTACCTTATGTAGTGGCTGCATAATAATCTTTTAAAAGAAATCTTGTTCTGTATTTTAAGGTTTTGATTATTATTGTATCACGTTCAGAAGGTTAACAAAATTTTACTAATTTTTGTTTCCATAGACAAACTTCATTTGTTGTGGGATGAGAATCTGCTCTCAGATTATCCGAGCATTCTTTAAATATTGATAAAAATTTATCTAACTCGCGTATGATGCTGATATCAATTGTGGCTAATCTATTTAATTCTTGCTTGCTAAACAAGTACACCTGTATTTCAGAATATGATTTTAAGAAACTCTGTATCATGATATACAGAATTCCATCTAGTTATTCTCGCTATTACATCTTGTTTAAGGGTAAGGCTTAGTTTGCTATTAGCTGTAGATTGTTTGAAATATTGTACTATTTTTTTTACACCATTTATATTTATGGCTATTTCAGTTTGTCAAAAATATAATGCATAATATTATTTAGTATATGGCATATACATGCAAGTATTTCGTCATCTTTGAATGTACTTATAATATTTGCTCCGTTATCACTCACAACACATTTATTTAAGTATTTTCTACTTCTGTATATTCTCCTAAAATTGAATTGATTACACTTTTATTTTGACGTTCTTTTCATCCATTGCCCTTGTGGCCAAAATATATGTTTTTAATTTAAAATCCTTAATGATAATATGTCCTATAAAGGTTAAAAAACTTAGATTTTTATAGTCATCCGTCCAAATATCAGTGATTATGGACAAGTAATTATTATTGATCATGCTTTTAATTTTAAATTTTATCTCATGGTATATTTTTTGACCTATAGTATTCATGAGAGTTTTCCGGTTCACAACTTTATATTTTGTTATCCATATGTAACACCAACATTTATCTCTTAGCCTAGCTTGTAAAATCCTTCATTTTCTGTTGCATTTAAAGATTGAAGATCTTTATAAATAAAATATAACTGACTTTTCTGTAAAAAGTTTAAGCAAAATTTAGCATAAAGTCTCGAGACAAAAAACACCTAAACATAAAAAGAAAATAGAACTAACTAAATGATACCGGATGTTGTTTATAAAATGCGGAAGATTTTTAGTTTTCATAAATTATTCTTTTTTAAAAAAGAACTAAATTAAATAAGAAAATTTATAATATAATTATAAAATTGCAAATTTATATTTATAAAAAAACAATTTAATTAAAATTTCCGTGATTCGCGGGAAATTTATGTTCACGCTCGATCACGCCCGGGGAAATTTTTGGGAAGGCCCTTCACTCCAGTCCCTTGGAATTCAAAATTTATTCACACTCACGCCGTAACCCACCATGACACGATGGGTCACGAGGGAGTAAATAAATTTAAATACACAAATTACATCACCGATATAAAAGATATTTAAAAAATTTTTTTTAATTAAAAACGGCATCAGTTTACCTCAGGCGCGTAACTAATGGAGAGGAAAGGAAGAAATCCCCCCCATAGCATATTTGACTGTTTTCATAAATATCATTTTAAGCTAATAAAAATTTTACCCCCCCCCCCCCCCCACCCAGAATCAATTTTACAAGTATTTGAATATCAATTTTCCAACATAAAACTTATTTTTTATAAATAAATTTTATTAAAGTTTCCTTTCCTTGTGGGTCATTAACATTATTCAAAAATATTATTAATAAAATGGAAAAATTTTTTAAAGAGATTCAAATCAAACGGTAATTTATTTTATTATTATACATAATTATTTTATTAAATTCAAAATTATTAGTGAGTTAGAATTAATAAGTATTTTTAATAATATTTTAATTATTAATATATATCTAAAATTTTTTAAATATTTTTCATTTTTACTTCCATTTGTCTAACAGAAGAATTAGAAATACAAAAGTTAAATAAGGCTGAGCATGAAAAAAAGTAATGTGTCGTCAGAAGCGATATCATTATTGAATTCAATTGATCAATCAGAATTTATCATGCTGCTAGTTGCATCAATAAATTATTTTACTATAGCTCACTACTTTGTAGAAATTTACAAAAACCAAATTTAGATTTGGTTTAGGTTATTGATTTGGCGGAAAATATATATGAACAGGTAGATACAATAAGAATGAATATTTTCATAATATTTATCTAGACGTTGAATCCAAGGTAAATTTCATGATATAACACTAATTAAACCTCGTCTAGCACTTAGGCAATTATTGAGATGTAAAATAAATATTGGCCCAACTGAAGAATATTATAAAATATCCATTTTCATCCCATTCTTAGATACTTTTTTATCGTACGGTTTTTAGATAAAAAAAACAAGTCTTTAGCTTTCTTCAAGTTTTATTACCAAAAGATCCTTCTTCGTTTTCTAATGCCACTATTAGTAAAATTAAATATTTAGCAAAATTTTATCTTATGATATTGATACTGAAATAAATTTAATTAGTGAATTCGAATTGTGGTATAAATATTTACCACGTTTAGCTATTTTAGCTGAGCATGCTATTGATGCACTCAATCGGTGTAAAGAAACCTTGGCTCAATTTCCTAATATTTTGAAGTGGTTTTATATTCTTGCATGTTTGCCTATTACAACATGTACGAATGAAAGGACTTTTTCCAACTTGAGAAGGTTAAAAACATATTTACGAAGTACTACTTCATAAACTCGGCTAAATGGGTTAGCTCTGTTAAATATCCGCAGAGATTTGGTTCCAACGACAAACAAAATTCTTGATAAATTGGCAACATTCCCACGAAAATTTAAAATCATATTATAATTATAGTATTTAATAAAAATTTTTGTATAATATTGTATTTGATAAGAAGTTAAAAAAAAACTTGTTTTTTAAATTATTTTCTAGTCAATATTTTATACACACTAATATTAGTATTTTCAATAAAAAAATTATATTCTACTTATATTGTATGAGAATTTAAGCTGATTTCAACTTTTCATTTAAAAAAACTTTATTAAATATAATATACCTAACTTAAAATATTAAAAAATAGGCTTGTAATATCCATAAACACGAATTAGTAAATAATAGTTAAAAATAGAAATATTCATAATTTAATAGAAATATTCATAATTTAATAGAATAGCTAAAACATAAGACTCGGTCGAAGGACGAGGAAAAGCTGGCCGAAGGCCAGGTAAAGAGGGTTAGGGGGTGAAGCCCCCCAGAAAATCCCCCCCCCAATAAGAAAATGCTCTATACGGCAGTGGTTTACCTTGTATTATAGGCGTATTTTATGATCAAATTTAGAAATAAACTAAAATAATTTACTGAAAACGAATTTATCATTTGATAGTCTTAAGTAATTTTTATTAAAATTCTTCTTTCTTATCCAGCTTTAGGGCGCATTATTTAGTTTAATTATACATCAAGAAGAAAATATTTTTCATCTATTTATTACGACGTAATGGTCAATTATAAGGACAATATGAATTGCCTGTTGTGATATTTGAATAAGATTTTGTGAAGAATTTACATATTTAATGTTAGTAGTATAAAAAGTTTGTAGTAGAAGTCTGCAATGGACGTGTTTTAGCCAAAAATCTCCACCCATCCCACTAGGAGTTTTAAAACTTTTCAGCACGTCCACTTACAATTGTTTAAAATATTAACCACGCTTGTTCATTTACCCGTCTGATTTTTAAAATGATTTTTATAGCTGGTTTAGCGTTTTATTTTAATGCATATTAATTAAACTTATATAATATGCAATATTACGATATAAAAATATTAATTTTATTGGTCACTTCTGCTCATTGTGCCTAAAAAATATTAAAAATTTTCCCGCCCATTACTTTAAAACAAGTCCTCCATCCGCTTAATGTTAAAAATATTTTAAAAACCCGGAAAACGCACGCTTTAAGTATGAGCGACATGGGCGAAAATGCTAAAAAAACTGCCCATTGCAGGCCTGTAGTTTGTAGTGCATTAAAATTATGATATTATTAATTTTGAATCAGAAGATATTCATATTTGACAATCTAAATTAGAGATGAATTTATTCGCGAAAAAAACAGATGATTATTATTATAACTTTCATTATTTCAATTTTTTTTTAATTACTTTTTATTTTATGATTTTATTTTTTAAACTATAATATAATAAAAATGCTCATTCTTTAAAAATGGAATTGGGACTATAAATTCCCCCAAAAAACTCGAATAATTATATTTACATAATATAAATGAAATAGAAGGTTTTGACATTAGGATCTGGTTCGTGATTTTTATCATTATTTGGTTATTGCGAAATAAATGTATTTTGTTTTTTCGATTTTTTAAAACTCAGTTCTCAAAGTAGTGATCTGAATCGGGCGTAATTTTTCAAGACCGGCCCCGGCCCGAAATTTTTTTTAAAAAAGTTTTGCCTGCCCGGCCCGAACCCGAAATTTACTTTAAAAAAATTTACCGGCCCGACCAGGCCCGAATTTATTTAAATATAGAAAATAATTTTTATTATTACTTAAAATAAAAGACATATGTTATATAGCGTTTAGTTTCAATAAATTAAATCAAAATTTTTTATTTTTCATAAAAAATTCAATATAAAATTGATAAATTTAAGATGTATTTAATAAAATTTCCAAGGTCCGACCAGACCCGGCCTAAAATTTTTTTAAAAATATTAGGGCCCGGCCTTAACCCGATTATTTTAAATAAAATTAGGCCCGAGCGGGCCGGACTCGGACCGGGTCAGGCCTAAGTTTGCAGATCTAAATGATAGAACTCGTGAAAATAATAATAAAATTGAGCCATTTACCTACATCAGATTAGAACACTATCAAATATTTGTATATAAGAACTTCGGGGAACTTCATTAAAATATCTAATTTATTGTAACAAATCATATAAGATATTTCATATTAATCTATATCTATATATTAGAATTTGTGCTAATTCATCGATGTTATATATTATAATAATGAAAAAATATTTTTTAATATTATGTGTATTCAATTCTAAATTTGTAATTTTCATTACACATTTGTTTGGTCAAGCATGCACTAACATTTACGAATTTTTTGTAGTTATCTTGTCTAGTTTCTAATTTAAAAAAAATAATAATTGCATTGCTATCGCTATTATGAAAACATTTCATTAAACCAATTATCAAAATGTTTAAAAAATTTAGTCTTAAAAAAGTAAGAAAATATTTATAAGATTCATAAGCTATATACCTAATTTTATTTTAATCAAGTCAATCGAACATTTTTAAAATCTAATATATTTATAATGATAATACTATATTTTGAGATTTCGCATCTTCTAAAAAATAAGTACGGCTTTTACTGAACCACGACATCAATATTCGAATAGGTGGGGATATTAAAATAGGATCAACATAATGATTTTTATTTCCTTCCGTGATAAAAAAAAATTATATATATTATATCGATATATTATTTTATATATATAAACTTGTTAATAGGCTTATTATGAGTCCTATAATAACGACAGAGAGGGTGGCGAGTGTACTAAAATATAGGTAAGAGAGCTGATATACTTTTGGTATCGGTTTGGAAAATCTAAAAATTAATTGTTTTATGATTTCGTTGAAAATATAAATAAGTTGTACATCGTATTGTAGTGAGATGTAACAAATGAATTTGTAGAATTGAAACTATTAAAACTGCTACGATTGTAGTTAGAACAACCATCTATACGCAACTTTAATTTTGGGAAGGTTTGCTTGTTAATAGTCGCACCTATGCCAATCCAGAATGAAAAAACCATTCCAAATATCCATCCCAAAAAAGATCCCTGAAAGGTTTGTTAAAAATAATTAATTTACAATGAACTATATTTAATTTACCCAGGAATTTGCGCAAGGGAAAAACATTCCTAATGTGAATAATCCTAACAAAGGCCCACCGATCATACCAAATATGCTTAAAGCTGTCTTTTGTTTTATTCAGATATATAGAATTGATATATACAAAATACAATTATATATAATAAATTTACCTGTAGAACTCCACCTAAATACGAAGATATAAATGCGACGCCGATTACCATCAATCCATAAATGGCGACCAAAATCTTTGAAGCGATAGCTCCTTTAGTCTCATTGATATTTGGGTAAATAAACATTTTAATACCATCTTCTAATGAAACTGCCGCCAAAGCATTGACACCAGATGACATGGTGCTATAAATGTTATAATAGAAAAAAATGTTTATCATTTAGCGTAGTGTTAAAAATTCTAATTAAGCCAATTGAAAAAAAAGGTCAGATTTTTTTTAAAAAAAAGGCTAAATCAAGATCTTAGAGCAATACAATATATAGACCCAAGATTTTACAAGAATAGAGCCAAACAAACTTTCCTCTCCTTCACGATCTAATATCATGGGTTGGGAAAAATTATTTTGCCAAAAATGTTGATTTCGCAGATATTTTAAAATAGGCAAAATAGAAGGATTTAGTCTAACGGTATAAAAACGTTAATTCTTGTTTATTAGGATAAAGAAAAGTTTTATAAATTTATCAGTAAATTTACCTCATACCACCACAGAATAATGCCGAAATAAATATGCCAGGCAAGCCTGGATAATTAATAACTTCCAGGACGAATAAGGGTAACATCTATTATAAAATTTTTGAAAACAATTTATAAGTACATATTTTCTTTCATTATTTATATTATTTCTGTTGTGGCGTAGCTATGGAATTTAATTTGAGCATTCCTACAATTATTTTATATCAAAGCGCATTATTTAGCAAGCCAACAGATAAAATATCAAATAACTGGAATTGGTTGTATATATTACTATAAATTTAATCGATATTTTATCATAAAATAAAATCGTGTGTTTTGATAATATATACCTGGTCGGCAGATTTGACTTGATGTGATAAAATTGGATCACAATTATAAAAATGTGCATACATGACTAACCCAGAATAACAGCAAAGAGATATTATGATTACCAGGCAGGGAAAATTTGTCCACATAGCCCTTTATTTGATTAGATTAAATTAAGTGGTTATAATTATTAAAATTTAGGGGGGGGGGGTGGAAATGGGTTAGACTAATAATTAAATAATAAATATGACTAACTTACCTCAAACTAACCATCAAGATGAATGCTATTTAAAATAATTTTAATTTATGTTTTGTAATTTTGAAAAATTATAAAATAGGGTTTAGAGTTTCATAAAATCTATTTATTTGAATTTTTAATTATTTATAAAGATTTTGTTGTTTTTGATATGTTAAAACGTATTTTTATCTGTAAAGATTAAAATGAATATTTTTTAATCTTTTTTTGCCAATGAAGTATGACATAATTATCTATATTATATTTAAATTTCTACTATTTTACCATAAGGATTACAAATGGAGTGGACTAAAACCTGAACCCACCTTGCCCCAGTCTCCCTATCATTATTATAAAAACAACCTTTTATGATATTTTAAGTAATACTTCATGTCACTGTAGATTTGATATGTTTATGATTTCGTAGCAGCAGTATAAAAGAGGTCAAATAGATCTATGACATTTTTAGAAAATGTGAAACGAACATATTACGGATTGGTTATGCTAAGATTTAAAACTATTTATAAATTACTTAATCTTTTACCCTTAATCGTTTAGATTTAGCAAATGCTGTGAAGTATAATATTAAGTGATTTTTAACATTTAGAAATGAAACGATTATAAAGTCATTGGGAAGCTGCCAGTTTTTCAATTTATATGATTTACTGCAAAAAAATTTATATGAAAATTTTATTTAAAATTAACTTTTATTCGTATACTTTTATGCATCTTAGATATAAGAATATTTTGAGTTGATTTTATAGATATAGAAAATTAAGAAGATTTTTTTACTATTTAAAAGAAATGAAAGCAAACTTTCATATCAAAATAAAAGTATTGAAAACAAAATTACTCATAATAAAGGTTTAACTCCACCCACACATCCTCTGAATTGTATAGTTAATATACCCATTAAATTATTATCAATAATATAATTATATAAAAATCTAAATACCACTGTGATTTGCGCAAAGTAGGACATGATAAACACCTTTGTACCTTCGCTTGATTAACGCCATATATCGCTAACCATGTAAAAAATCCACCAATTGTAAGTGTCCAAAAAGTATAACGTTCGAATGGGTCAAAGTTAAAGCTTTATAATTATATATATTTGCATTAATCCACTACATTATTTAAAGAAAAATGATTTTAAATTAGAATTATTAGTCAAAATATATGATAAAACAATTTATTATTAATAAATTACTCTATTTTTTGAAGCCTTGCTCCTTCATAACTTCTCTCCCATATAGTTTTAACTCCACCGACAACATATACTCCTCTAATAACCACGATGATTAATCCAAGAACCATTACTATTATTTGGAACGCATCAGTCCACATAACGGCCTTTATTCCCCCCTTTAATAGTTTTAATATTTTTAAGAGAAGTATGAATAAATATAATTTATACATCTAGGTTTATAATAATTTGTCAATGCAAATCTTATTCCTAGACAATTAAATAAAAGGATCTAAATTCATGGTAATATTTATATTTTGCAATTCCTTATCATTTTTAAAGGTAAACTTACGATAGATGTGTAAAACGTGCATACAAGACCGGCTGTTAAGATGGATGCTGTTATGGATATCCCGGTGACTATGTAAACGATAATTATATAAGATACAGTTGTAAATATATCCATAACTATTAAATATATTAAACCTTGATTGAGGGCTAGGCATGGAGCATAAAGAACTATCCCGAGATAAAAAACCTAAAATAAAAATAAATATATAGACATTTTAGGTATTTATATTAACCTTATCATATTTTTTAAAATAAAAATCTAAAAATTTAGCCTAAAAATTTATCAGAGGCCTGCAGGCTCGCCCAGGTAAACGGGCCGGGCCGTATTTTAATTTTTTAAATATACCCGAACCAGGCCCAGTCTAAAAAATTTTATTACCCGGGCTGCACCGTATATTTTAAAAACGAATATTTAAACTCGCCAGTAGCTATAAAAATTAAAACTAAATGTTATGGTTTTTAAAATATCCGGGAAGGGTTGGGCCAATGTAAAACTCGAGAAAAAAAATCCTAGCCGGTCCTTGCATATGATACTTCTGCAGGGCTCTGTAAATTAACCTGATAAATTTATATTATGATATGATTTAGAAAGAAAAAAAATAAGGAAATTAATTTCCTATAAAAAAATAAGATAAACCATGGTAAAAATTTTCAAAAATGGGAAAAAATTACCATTTGTATTGTAAACGTGAACGATCCCGCTAATCGCAAGTTTCTATGAAATCTTTTCTCAAGATACTAAAAAAAAATTCAACAGAATTGTTATTTATATTTTTAAAAAGTTACAGAAATTTTTTTTTAAATTCTCATACTTCGTATGTTGAGGTGAGTTTGAGATTGTAAAACACCGGGAGATAGAAATAGTTTGCGACCAGAATAACGAACCCGTAGCTGATAACAATGTTCCAATATTGTGTTCCGTACAAATAAATTTCGGGTCCGGTTCCTAGAATGGATATGGCTGATACAAAGGAAGCTATCAGAGAAGCTCCAACTGGAAAAATACCCATTTTTTTATCACCCATCAAAAATTCCTGTGTAGTTTTCTGTTTGCCGCCTATAAAGGCATATGCCGATCCAATTATCAGGGATAAAAATAAAAATACCGCGAATAGAGCGTAATCTAAAGTAGAAAAACGTTTGATACTAGATTGGTTTGCAACGATATCCATTATATTTTTTTAAAAAAGTTTTTTTTAAAAAAATGTATTATATTTTTAATAAAATATTTATTTTAAAAAAATTATATTTTAAGAAAATTTTTAAAAATTTTAATTTTGAAAGTGGTAAATAACAGAATGATAAAAACAAAAATATCATTTATTACAAGAAAACATTAAAAAACAAATCTTTCATTAACCATAAAATTAAATAATTTAATTGGAAACAAAAAAAAGATAAATTTTCTTTGAATAGTTTACCAACTATATATTATAATATAATAACAATCAATTATAAACAAAAGATGAATTTTAGTTGTTTTAATAAAATAACTAGTTATTTTCTTGTCTAACGGCAAGCTTTTCTAATAGATTGATTATGATCATTTTATATGATTGATGAGTTTTGAATATCAATTGATGGATTCTCATCATTATTATTATTTTAAATACATTTCCTTACTACAAGTCATATGTTCCAAGAGTGAGTGAAAATAAAAAAAGGAAAAAAATAAAATTCACTATACATATCAATTTTTTTTAAATAAATTTTGAGTCAGGTGTCAGTATTCCATGTAAAATATATTCTGAATCAGCTTATCCTTGTTTTCAAAAATTATCCGATCAATTTTTATATCCCGAGATTTGATAGATTCTCTAATTAAGGCTTTATTGAATCTTAAATTTTTTCTAAATTATTTTTTGAGCTTATCGCATTTATGAGTAATAGTAGTATCTCTAAGAAGGATCAATATCTTAAGCCCAAAAATCGCTATATTTTAGTGAATAGATAGGGAAATTTTACATTTTAAGAATCATGTAAAACTATTATTTATTAATGTTACTTAAAAACGCGTAGCGTATCATCCCTTTCCACACATATGTAGAAAATTAATATAAATGCTGCTAGTAATGTGCTAAAGCGTGACAGGAACTCAATAAAATAAAATATGAACGCCATTAATTTTTTTTTATTAGTTCGTTTAAATTTTCTGCTTCAAAATTACTATTTTAGAAACCCTAAATTTCCAGTCTATAACAAAATTTTTGAAAAAAAATAAGAATTTTTTTTTATTAATTTAAAATGCAAAACCACATAGTGCACGCGTAGAGAATAAAGCCCTGACTATGGGTCAAGAAGGACTCCGTTTATTGCAGAGTTTGAAAAAAAATCTTTAAAGAAGAAGAAAGATTTTTTAATAACATCTTACTTAAGGCTAAGTCCTCGCATTTGAAACTTTAGAGGAAAAAAATATATAAGCTTTTTGTATAAAAACATGTCCAAAATATAATCCTAGAATAAAATTTTAAAACTTCTGGAACTTTTAAAACAATTCAAATTTTTTAAAAGAATAGCCTAAAATATATTTTGTGAAAACTCATATAAATAAATATTTTGTAATTTTTAGGCATAAAAAATCTTTCAGAAATAACGATTAAGATTTTTGCTCAAAATATTTTTAAAGATTTTTTTCAAACTCCAGCTTATTGGTTTTGATATGATGAGCCTTGAGGGGCAAATACCTACGGTTAATATGGGAGGGTCTTTGTCCATTTCGGCCAACATAGACGACATCATTATTCATACAAATTTTTATGCAGCATGCAGCTAATTATTCTATTTATGTATTTATTTAATATATCAGATAATTCCATGTAATATTTTAACAATATTTAAGATATAATCTTAATTTGACTAATCAGAAAAGTGGACGAATTTACAATCAAATGATTTTACGATCATAGTTAGGAAAAACGTGAATATATACTCATGACATTGATATTATTACAATTCATATGTAAAATGCTTTGTATTATTTAAAGTAAAATAAATTTTTTGATTTGATAGAAATTTTAAATAGTCAAAAATTTCCACCACATCCTTCTACCAAAAATAAAATTGAGAGAGCTTTACCCCACATTAGGTTAGCCCGAATTTGCGTCGAATGATTTTTCGCCACTAATTTGCGCTGACTGTGAATTCAGGGTTAGGCACACATATGTAAAAGGAGCTAACGATGCCAAGCTATCCTATTATAATTATTTTCAATGAAAAATGAATGATAATTTTATATTATTAAAATGTTAAATAGAATGATGAGAATCAATAATTGAGATTATGAAAACAAGTTTTATAAGGTATTTCTTACATATTTTTCTCTCATGTAATTGTGTCACAAATTATGTGCTCCATTAGGGAAATAGAATAATATAATATTTGGTGATACTTTAAATACTTCCCAAAAGGAAAGACACTTACAATATCTGAAAGAAAGGCAAACTTTGATGATAACATATTAAAATAATGAATATTTATATTTACAGTATATATTGATAAATGATCATATTGCTACTACTTTCCAAAAAGATAACTGATAAACTAGCAAAAGAGGGCATAATAAGCACCAGGTGAATAGATTGGGGAGGGGAGGCAGCAGAGGTATTTAATCTGCTTGCCAACATGGAAAAAATAGTGGGCCCTTTCCAAAAAATTTGGAATAAATAAAGTGATTTTTTTTTTTAAATAATGGATATAGTCAAAATATTAATGTTTATTACCATGAAATAAACTTAATATATTATAAACAATGTATATAGTGTACATGGGATAAAGGATAATCTTTGAAAAATAAATATTTAAGGCTAGATTTAAAAAATAAAAAGTTAGATAAACTTAAATAGTAATATTAAGATCACTATCATAAATATTTATCTTAGACTTCCGGTGTATGGTTCAATTGCATTGTTTATAAGAGCAATTTACAAAATAGAATACATAAATTAAAATGTTTGCGTAAAATATTTTTTGAAGAAATACTAATTCAACAAATACCTAAGTTGCTGCCAAAAAAAAGGTTATGAAATCATTTTTAATTAGTGTTGTTAAATGGCTCGATTTTTAAAAATTGTTAACCCAATATTTTAGCCAAAAATGTTATGCAAGTCTGAATATTTTGCTCTGGGCATTTATTAACGAAATCTCGAGATTTGTATTTTTGGCTAAAATATTGGGTTAACCGTTTTTAAAATTCGAGCCGTTTAACAACACTATTTTTAATCATTAATAGATCAACTAAACAAGAGACAACGGTTTGGATACAAAGCATAATGGAAATCAATTCAGTGCTTTAATGGAAATATATAATAAGATGCACTTTTTCTTACTTCTGCTTGATTTTATTTCAACCACTTTACCAATACTTAGTCATTTTATTCTAAGTATTAAGTAAAATAGTGAAATCGGATCCTTCACGTAATTAGTAATAGCTCCTTCTACACTTTTTTTATTTAGATGGGGGATTTGGCTACAAATAAATCTATAATTTGTTCTACTTTGTTTTTGTTTCGAAATTTTTTGGTTAAAATGAAAAATATCAATCGTTCTACCCCGGTCTCCCTATATCACACATTTCTTCTTAATTCTTAAAAACTTAATTTTGTCCCAATTGTATTTCAGCATACTATAACCTACCCTACTATATTCATATTGATCGAAATGGTAGATCCAGAACCCTGAGTTCCAATATACTTCTAAATCATACACATCATATCGCATATATTTACTGTCAATATTTTGTAACGATTTATAAATATTTCAATTCTAAGTATTGACTTAAACAGCGCCCTCCCCCTCTCTAAGTCAGGAAATATAGGTAAGCTAAAATACTTTTCAAATATATTACTGATTCCTTTCCTACATTTTATAACCTATATATTACAATTTACATTTAATTATTCTTCACAGCCAAAATAAATGCTCTGCTAATTTATTATGAATTAATATCGATTTCAATTTCCCTTGGAGTTATATTTATCCACTCCTTTAAAATTTCCCAAATCATTTGAAACTTTTTCACTGCTAAAGTAAAATATTTCAAAAAAAATGACATAGATTTGATTATGATTATGAGAATAGCTGAAAGCATTATTTTGTAAACTAAGGAAATTAGAACAAATGTAGATGACAAATATCATAAATTATATGTCATTGTTAAGTTAAAATCTGCGCTCTGAGTTTAATACTTGTCTACATCAACTCGGATCTAGGCAAGCCCATCGTTCCAATATTAATATAGGAGCCCTAAGTAATACTATAAAATATATCTCTTTATCCCCCTCTTGGATTTATAACTCAAATGAATAAATGGTTTTTGAATTAATTAGGCAGCACTTACAAATCTGCAAATATTATCACAGCAGAATCTATCCATTATTTCTAATCTTGTTAGAAAGAAAGTTAAATATTTGGCAGATTGATAGTTCATTATGAGATTTTTTAAATTAGGACAAATTAATTTATTAAAATATGTTAATCAAAATTATTCTAAATAACATAAATAAAACTAAAACGTAAAGTAAAATCAAATTATAAAAAGTAAAAATTATATATCTTTCTCTTTTCTTTTCTTGAATTATTACATTTTCGATCTCACTATTTCAGTGGCGTATCCAGGATTTTCTTATAGGGGGGGGGGGAAATATTTAATAATAATTATATTTCTATTTTTAACTATTATTTACTAATTCGTGCTTATGGATAGGATATTACAAGCCTCTTTTTTATTATTTCAAGTTAGGTATATTATATTTAATAAAGTTTTTTTAAATGTAAAGGTTTTTTTAAATGTAAAGGTTTTTTTAAATGTAAAGGTTTTTTTAAATGTAAAGTTGAAATAAAGTGTAATGTCATTTTTTTTATAAAATTTGCTTTAAAAACTAGCCTCAGCTTAAATTCTCATACAATATAAGTAGAATATACTTTTTTTATTGAAAATACTAATAGTAGTTTAAAATATTGACTAGAAAATAATTAAATTAACAAGTTTTTTTAACTTCTTATCAAATACAAGATTTTTAATTATTTCGTTTGTCGTTGGAACCAAATCTCTGTGTATATTTAACAGAGCTAACCCATTTAGCCGAGATTCAGTACTTCGTAAATATGTTTTCAACCTTCTCAAGTTAGAAAAAGTCCTTTCATTCGTACATGTTGTAATAGGCAAACATGCAAGAATATAAAAAAAACCACTTCAAAATATTAGGAAATTGAGCCAAGGTTTCTTTACACCGATTGAGCGCATCAATAGCATGCTCAGGTAAAATAGCTAAACGTATAAATATTTGTACCGAAATTCGAATTCACTGATTAAATTTATTTCAGTATCAATCTCATAGGAATAAAATTTTTCTAAATATTTAATTTTACCAATAGTGGCATTTGAAAATGAAGAAGGATCTTTGGGTAATAAAATTTGAAGATTGCTAAAGACTTGTTTTTTATCTAAAACCCGTACTTTTATTTGCGATAAAAAAGTATCTAAGAATGGGATGAAAATGGATATTTTATAATATTCTTCAGTTGAGCCAATATTTATCTTCATCTCAATAATGGCCTAGGTGCTAGACGAGGTTTAATTAGTATTATATCATAAAATTTAGCCTTCGATTCAACGTCTAGATAAATATTATGAAAATATTTATCTACATTATTATTGTATCTACCTGTTCATGTATATTTTCCGCCAAATCAATAACCTGAACCAAATCTAAGTTTGGTTTTTGTAAATTTCTACAAAGTAGTGAGTTAAAAATAATTTATTGATGCAACTAGCAGCAATGATAAACTCTGATTGATCATTGAATTCAATAATGATATCGCTGCTAACGACACATTACTTTTTTCATGCTCATGCTCAGCCTTATTTATAAATTATCGTTTGATTTCAATCTCTTTGACTAAATATTTTTCCATTTTATTAATATTTTTGAATAATATGTTGGAAAATTGATATTCAAATATTTGTAAAATTTTGATTGGTGGGGGGGGGGTTCTGGGGGTGGGGGTAAAATTTTTATTAGCTTAAAATGATATTTATGAAAATAGTCAAATTTGGGGGGGGAATTTCCCCCTTTCCCCCCCCATTGGTTACGCGCCTGCACTATTTATACTACTAAAATTTACATATCATCGATATTTTCATATAATTGTCATTTAATTTGATTACAATTTAAACCTTCCAATTACCTTTACAATTTAAACATTTCAACTATCTTAACAAATTTTTTTAATAAATCGGTCCATTTCTAACAGTAGGAAAAATTCGCTAAGCCTTGAGGCAATAGTATATTTTTAGAGCTATCTATTAGGTTTAAACCTCAAGCGAGGCTAGGGTGATAGTTTTCGTTTAAAAAGTTGACTTAGCATTTTTAGAGTTGGCTAAAACCGGGAAAATGGAGACATTAATCATCAAAACTTGTTGATGCCCATTTAAAATATCAAAAGCGGCGGAGGCATAAAATTTCTATAAAAATAAACATATTGGAAAATAAAACTTTTTGCTTCTCTATTTTATATGTTAAAAATTAAAAACTTTTGACTATAAAAATTCTAATTATTATAACAATAATAAAAGAAAAGGGATTCAAATTTAACACCAAAAAATTTTAAAATTATTTGGCGAGGTGCTTAGCCCCGCCCCCCTCAAAATTTGGAAATACGGCTAAAAATCAAATTCCCTAGCACGAAACATAATAGAACTATTTTGGAATCAATTTTTATTTATATGGGAACGTGGTATACATATAATAGTTAAAGATTATCTGACTATGAATACCAAACACCTATATTTTAAGTTCTCGGAAAATTTATTAACTTTTCAAATTCCTTAACTTTTTTGGCAAAGGTATATTTCATAGTACTGTAAACATTTAAAAATAGTGTTCGTCGTTCATTGGCACAAAAATCAAATGTGTTCAATTTCAAAATTCATGATCGAAAAAATAGGAAAGTGTTCAAATTCGTGTAGGGCATTCCCGTTCATTCATAACTAAAAAAATTATTTTTTTGAAATACTTTTTGCATTATATAATTGCGCCATTATTAATCGTTATATTTTAAAATTCTTATTTTGTAGTAGAAAATGAGTTAAAATCTATTCCAATATAATATTTTGTTAATTATATTTTTCTATTAATTTTTAATATGGAATTGTGTTTAAAATTTTTTATCCTAAAATGCTTTTCGCCGGAGCCAAGGATAGGATTGCATTTGGAATGATATTTTTGGGAAAAGGGTTTTTATTTCTAGAAATTTGTTGAAAATATTTTATTTTATCTTTTGTTAATCGATAGATAATCATCATCTGAATTTTCCACAAATTCTTCGTCAAAAAAAAGGAAAGATTTTAGAGTAGGACTCTGTTCTACAGCACATTTCTTCATTCTCTACTAATTTCTTTAAATATAATACTAGGTTATTTTCAATTATTCTTTCCGTGAAAGCATTATCCAAAATTCGAATTCAAATATATATACTGATCTCTATGTATTTAAATATAAAAGATTAAAATATGAGTACAATTAATTTGATAATGACAAATTAACTTTTATCAATCCCATTCTCATCTGACAATAGGTTAAACATGTAATTAATTTTTTTTTTAAATTTTGAGTGATATTATCAATATTGTGGGCTTTAAATAGCCCCATTTCAAGTACTCTTCACTGTCTCAAATGGAAAAATTGGTGAGCATTCCATGATCTAATGCAATATTTTCATATACAGATTTATTTTAATTATTTAGTTTAAAAGAAATTAAAATATCTATTGTAATTAAGGACAGGAGAAAGATATTTTATCTTAGACCGAACTATCAGATATATCTGACTATAAAATTTTTTTATAAACTTAACATAATAAAATTTAAACTATGTTAGAATAAAATAAACATACACGGTCAAAATATAAAGTGGGCTGTGAAATATTTGGAGGAAATTAGTGAATAAGAAAATTAAATTTAATATCATTATAAAATTTTAAACTTTCCATGAAAATTCATTTATAAACAAAAAAATATATATAAACTTTTTAAATTAAATAAACTTAAAAAACGAATCCATTTGTCAAAAAAATGAATATCTTCATGTTCAAAATTTCTCTCAAAAAGGAAACCCAGTTTATACTGTGTTTTCAAAAAAAAAACGAAGCAAAATTATATAAGGTGTTCATTTTAAATGAGACATTGTTTTCTATATCATTAAGATTACTTGGTAAGGTATGTCTTTTTATTAAAAAAATAATAATAATTTGCACAAATCATTTGAAGATTGAAAATTTTGTATTCATCATTTTTAAAAAAAAAAAAATTGTGTATAGAAAAGCCAATTGTTAAAATATTTGAATAAATTATCGAAATATTAATTATTTAATAAATAATAATAAAGGAAACCAAATTACTAAAATTAATCATTTTATAAAATTAGCCAATTTAAGTTTTAAGAGAAAAATCGCAACTATAGACGAAAATAAAAATATTTTTACAGAAAAAAATAATAATTGATAAATAACCTTGGATATAAGTAAACTGAATTATACAGTGAAAAATGATGTTATAAGGAACTTAAATTATTTAAATTGTATATAAGTATAATTAATTCATTAAAAATTAATTTTTATAGAATAATAAAATAAGGCCAAACAATAAAGAATTTATTTATATTTTCGTTAATATCTTATTTATCACTTATTATAATAGTCAGTTACTCTTCTTTTTTTCATCGGAGGTTTCCATTTTAATCTAAGATTTTTTATACCGCATAAATATGACTTGTCCCTCCCCCTCCCCTCATCAAATCCGATTTATGTTTAGGGTCATCTCTTTCATTCCTTGCTTTAATCTCTTTTTTTATATGTTTCTATAGTCATCTTTTCTGATACATTTTTGATAGTTGAGAGAGAGATTTGGGCATATATTTAATAAGACTGGTCTAATTATTGATTGCATAGGCTTGGCCATTAATTAATGATTGCTTAAGAGTTGTCAGCTTATTAAGTTCTTCAATGCGAAAAACTACTCTCATGTATATATGTAGTAATGGGTAAAATCGCGAATGTCTATTAACTATTAATTAACATTTGCCCAGACTTAATTTTCAACGCCTCAATAAGATTATGAGGATATTTTGAAGGCCTAAAAGAGGCTATATTTGTTACATTTTTAATATTTCATAACCAAACCAATCACTATATCGGAAACATACCAGTAAGCTAATCGCCTTATATTTCATTCTTATAATATTTAATTTTTCTCACTAGATTTTGATAAAAAAAGAATTTTTTTTTAGTATAGCTACCAGGGAATAGCATTTTTTGCACATGTCTAGGCCGACCCTACCCACCATTAATAAAATATTTTACTAATTTCCATGGGCATTTAAAATTTTAAGAAAAATTAGGTCCCGGCCTGTTTATTTTTTTAAAAAAAATTTTCCCTCCAATATATTTTTAATGTCTATATTTATCAGGGATGTGAACCCGAACCCTGAAACCATGTATTTTGACAGGACCTGGAAACGAACCCTGTTCAAAAGTAGATGGTTATTGGTTCTAGTAAGTGTTGTTAAACGGCTCGATTTGACCCTATTTTTAAAAACGGCTAACTCAATATTTTAGCCAGAAAAACATTAGGCAATCCTGAAGATTTTGGTCATAGATGGTACAAAGGTTTGGACATCTAGCAAAATCTCAAGGCTTGTGAAATATTTTTAGGCTAAAATGTTTTAGCGGTTTTTAAAAATCGATTCAAATCGAGTCGTTTAACAACACTAGTTCTAGGTGTCAAAAAATATTTTTTTAATTAAAATAAATTTAAAAAAATTTTTACGATTTCTTTTCCCATTTTTCAAAATTTTCTGGCTTTTATACTTCCATTTTATATCTAATATATTGTTTTAATTTATTTCCATCTTAGAAAGTAAAATATTGTGAATTTTGTTGTGTAGATAATAATATTTTATTATAAATGATAATTTATTAATATGCTGTATAATAGGAATACGTTTCTTACCTTGTTTTATATTAATTTTAGAAAGTAAAATATTGAGAATTTTGTATTAGGTGAGTAAAGCCCCCTTCCTCTATTGCAAATTTGCTAAGTATTATTTTAAGGTAATAAAAATTTTACACCCAAAAAAATGTAAACAATATATTACGAATGAAAGATAAATTAGTAAAAGCTAATCTTTTAAAATAACGACTATAATTCAAAATTTTCAGGAAAAAGCATTTATAAAAAAGGTTGAAAGGCCTAAATTTATTTAATGAAAATCTAATATAGCCAAAGTCCTACAATAAATGAACCTAAAGATCTCCAATAAAATTTATGGGGAAAACCCCACCTAATAGTGCCCCCCCCCCTAACAAATCCTGGATATGCCTATGTTTTGTAGTGTAGGTAATAATATTTTATTATAAATGATATCAAAACTATGCGATTAAATAAAACATCTAAATTATAAATTATTTCTAAATATTTTACTTGTAAATTATGTATGTGTAATTATATGGATAGGGAATGAAAAAAATTAATAAATGGAAAAACTTGATGATATTTCGAGTCAATATTTATTTAGGTTTTCCAAACTCTGAACCCGAACCCTTTTTTTTAGATTTTATTCCTGAATTCTGATATGGACCCGGACCATTTTTTTTGAAGAAGGGTTCACATCCCTGATATTTATATCTCATTTTTTCCAAACTATCGCATTTAGATATCTGAATTGTGTATTTGCAATCGGATAACAACATAAATGACTTGTTTATTATTTATAGATTTATGGTAATTAGAACAGCTCCTAAACTTAAAAGAAATAATATTGTAATTTATTTTAATCCTAATATAGGCATAAAATTTTTAAAAAATATATCAATTTTAAATTTTTTTCCAATATGCAACATCTCATCTAATGTATTTTTGTATTACACGGTCGTCATTTTTATATCCATATTCATGATTTAGTTGGCACAATCTCATTGACCAATCATAAAAATATTCGTTAACTTGTTGACTGGCTATGTCGAATTTAATAATTTTTTTATTATGGTTTAATAATTTTAATTTCTTAATAAGAAACTCATAGTTACTTAATTCAACTTTCAAACACAAGGATTTTAATTTTAAATACATATATATTAAATAGAATTTCTACCTTAATGCCATTACTGCAAGAATGACTTAAGAAGTATCTCTTTATCTTATCAATGTCGATGATTCCTTAGGGTAACCTAAAAAAAATTTTTTAATATACGAGATATTATTATTTTCTATTTTATTAATATAAACACGACGTTAAAATCTAACAAATAAGCATGATGTCATGTCAGTCGTCCATACCATTAATAACATACATCTTATCTACACTCTTATAACGGTTTAGCATGTCCTCGATTTTATCAAATTGCAAGTACAACGCATCACTATTAAGTAGTCTTATAATCAATAAGGTGATCCATTGTCATGTCTAAAGAGTGGCCAATGAATAACAACATCAGAAAGGAATTTACTTTAAATATAAACATTTTTTAAAATTTAAGATAGAAAATAATTAAAATGAGGATCCTTAATATTTTTAAGACTTTTATAACCATTTTTATTTCATATACAAGATACAATGCAAAATTAAAATTTTATTATATATTTTTTTTCAATGTTTTTTTACCTTGTGTTATTTACATAAGAATTCGCTATGTTACTTTATATATATTTTTTAAATAGGATCTGCAGACTGAGTCATGGTGCCATAGGTAGCAACCCTTTCCCAGCAGTGGTCAGATGGGCATTCTTTTGAGGAATTATTTTATTTTATATTAATGGATTTTATAAAAGTTTTAAAAAGTTGACTTAAATTTATTTTTTTATATCCTTTTCAATAAACCAGGGGGATTGTAGCCTGGGAATCACAAATAGCGCGGAATTAGAAATGACCATGATGAGTTACAAATGGCTATGGATCACAAATCATAATATTAGAGTTTAAACAAAATATAAAATAGGTTGGGGCTGAGGAGGTGTATTAAAGAAAATATTATAAATTTATGTATACCCATAATATAAATTAGTATATTTTCATTAGCTAATTATATTAAGATGGAACACTGAGAAATAAGAAATCAAAATTAAACAAATTTATACTAACATTGCAGAATAATAAGTATATACGAATAAAGATGAATATTGTTAACTCGTCATTTTTTATCTTATATCAGGGGCGTCGCTAGCCTTTACAATCTCAGGGGGCTCAACTAAAAATTTTTTGCCTTCCAATTTGCGAGCCTTCGGCCTGCTTTTGCCCGGCCTTCGGCCGGGTTTTATATTAATATTTTAAATTTTCTAACTCTAAATAATTATTCTAAATGTCATTTATTATATTTTACATGCAAAATAAACTAGCATATAAAAATAATACAAGACATTTCTAAAAACAATATTTTTTAATAGAAAATCTATTTATTACAGTATAAAATATTTTCGATTGTTAATATAAAATGATTTTGCGTCTAAAGAATAATAAATGATAAAAAAGGTTAATTAATTCATATCCTCAATTGATAATAGTTTTTGAAAATTACATAATATAATATAATTCTTAGCAAATTACATTGACAAAAGGTCATGAAACTAATATAACTCCCTATTACCATTTTAGACAATGTTTTATAGAATGAACTAATAAGGAAATATTTATAGACCTTACCAAATCTACAATTCTTGAAGAAGAGAATATAAACGACCAATCCAAATCATAAAGCTATATGATGGTTAGAGCTTCCTCTTAGATGACATGATGGAAGCTAGATAAGTAATCGAGAAAATTATTGTATGATATTAAACTTCTAAAAGATTATCTTCTATTTTTAATGTTATATAAACGACTACACAGTTGGCCTATTGCTTATCTAAAATGTGCGATCATATGCTCTCAGCAGCTATAGTAATAATCTTAAAATACATAGCCACACAAATAATAGATGCTGGTTAATTTGCAGTCCTATCCATGACACTCACAATGGTAACCCATCACAATTTATTCTGTTAGATAAATTGATAAACAAAAATATTAAAACCTTTAGAATAAATTATGCAAATATATTGAAGCCTTGAGTTATTTACACGGCAAGGATGCCATATTAGAAATGAAACATAACTACAAAATAAGAACCAGAGTGATATCATGAAAGCAATTAAGATTTTATATATTATTGTCGCATCATCTCTAGTTGGTATATTATATCTTAAAATAATAGTAGTTTCTAGTTTGTAATAATATCAAAAATATATTTGTATTAAAGATTTAACTCAAATCTATTTTTCAAAGAAGAAAAATATAGCTTTTCTAAAAACACGTAAAAAATAGAAGAAAAGATATCTAATTTATTACATGTGGGATGAATAATGATACGTTTTTTTATTTTAAATAAATAGATGGCGTTAAATATTTGTAAGCAAATTGTTACTATAATTTATTATCAAAAGCATTTATTAGTAAATATTAAAAATATTAACTGTAATATATTATATAACTCAGATACGTCTGTAAAAGTGGCATTTTACCTAATATTTTATAAAAAATTATATATAATAGAGGATTATAAACTATATGTCTACTTACCTTTTATAAATAAATCTCTTATACTTATTTGGATTTGGACCTTGAAAATAATTTTAGGAAGAGACATGATAATTAAATTTAATAATCAATAATATAGTTGATTAGTGATTTTGAACTCGGCTAAAATATTAAATTATTAATTTTCAATTAATAAATGATTATATTTATTAGGGTTATATAATAATTTAAATAATAAAAGTCAATTAAGCTTCAACTGTTTAAGCTAAATTAATATTTAGTGAGTGATATTGTTATATTTTTAACATAGAATTTGATTGCAAGCTGACTTAGTATTTTATATGAATAGTATTCATTTAATAAAAATTATGATAGTCATTAATTTTTTTAATAAAATAATATCTATATATTACTTAATAGAATTATAGAAGAAATTATTCAGAGAGTAATTAAAAAAATTTATTTTTAGCTCGGAGATATTAAGGAGCCATTAAAAAAAAATTTTTGCTTCAGGAGGCTATTCAAATTTTTCAAGGGGCTCGAGCCCCTGCAACCCCTAGCGACACCACTGTCTTATATAAAAATATAATCATAATTTTGAACAGTATGAGAGATAAAGACAGTAAAACATTAAATAAAATAATAAAAAACTTGCAGAGGTGTTAATATCAAGTGGATTTCCTTATAAAATCAAGGTCCATTATTATAAATATCTCTATTACGAAATGAGGGTATTTCTTGCTTATCATATTCTCTAGATCGTGGAAGTAATTCATAAGATAGCAAATGATTTAATGAAAAAAATGACACAAGTTAATGAGAATAAAATATAGATGATTTTCTAAATACATATTTGCCTTTAAGAAATATTTAGATTTTATAAATAAGGAGAAATGAAGGGAATGGGTAAAGAAGAAAAAAATGGAAAGAAAAATGAAAATTGAAAGGGGATAAGGAAAGAAAGAGCAAAAGAAAAAGAAAGGGAAATGAAAAGAAAAAGAAAGGGAAATGGAAAGAAAAAGGAAAGGAAAAGAAAAGAAAAAAAGAAAGAAAAGGAAAGAAAAGAGGGAGGGGGGGGGGGGTGAAAAGGAAATAGAGGAAGAAAAAAAGAAAGTGGAAGGAAAAGAGAATATAAAGGGGAAAAAAGGAAAATGAGAAAGGAAAGAAAATGAGAAAGCGAAATTTAATAAATAGAAAATTAAAAGAAGAGACAAATGGAAAGAAAGGAGGAAAGCGAAAGAAGGGGGCCAAAAAAGGGTAATAGTGCGCACAAATTGAACATTTCAACGCTGCATTTCAAAACACAAATAATGCATTTTAATTGCATACGTTTAAATTGAGTACGTTTGCGTTTTGTATTTTAAATTATTGATATGTATTTTAAAACGCTGCGTTGAAACGTCAATTTGTACGCACTATAAGGATAGATAAAAGGCAAAGAGAAAAAAACGAGAAAGGAAAAGTAAAAATAAAGATAAGCAGAAGGAAAAGAAAAAATAAAAGCCAAAGAAAAAGAAAAAAAAACAATAGGAATAGAAAAAGGAATAGGGAAAGGGAAAATAAAATAAAAGGGAAAGAATAAGAAAACAAAAATGGAAAGAAAAAGGAATAAGGAAAAATGTGTAAAACGAAGGCAAAGAAAAGGTGGAAGAAATAGGGAAAAAGATCCACCTATTTCCTTACAAAATATCCCAGATTTTAATACTATTTCTCCTCAAAATTGTGTATAAAAAAATGCTTTGCTAGGGGAAAAATTATTGAGTATTTTAAATATCTTGTAGTGTTCCTCCTGTCCAATTATTAAAAAATTGTGCATATATATATATAATATAGATTTTTTTTAAATATCATCATATCTTTCATAGTTTTGTTTATATTTGTTGTAAAAATCTTTCATAATTCAACAAATTTATTATGTACTTTAATTTTGAATATATGATATATAAACCTAAAAATGAATTTAAAAATAATATTTAAATAATAAATATTTTTTTGGGTTCATGATGTTATTTCAAAAAAATAATCATTAAGCGAGGACAATACATAATGAGGACATGAGAAGTGAGAACATGATGTAGCGAGGACATAAAGTAATGAATTAAGTTAAATTGTAAAATAATATAAGATATTGATAAGGTTAAAAAAAAGTATCTTATTTGAATCACAATATTTCAAAAATTAAACGATAAAAAGTATATATAAAATAATAAAATTTAAATTAGTGTAAGTATTTTGAGGGAAATTTATCCTATCATTAGTGTTGTTAAAGGGTAAGATTCGGGCCGATTTTAAAAATAGCCCGATTAAGATTTTAGATAAAATAATATTATGTAAGCCCGGAGATTTTGTTGATAGATAGCAGAAAAGACCTCTATTTGAAATCTAGAGGATTACATTATATTATTTGGCTAAAATCATAATTGGGCCGTTTTTAAAAATTAGCCCAAATGGGCCGTTTATCAACACTACCTACCACCCATTCTAAATCCAGGTATGCCATAAACAAGCTTTCAAAATATCTTATTGCTGCAACTACAAGTAAAAATTATTGGATAATGCCTTAAATACTATTTAAATAATGATTTAATTAAAATAATTTTTAATCATTACTTAATAAGTATTTACTTATTACAATTTTCATTTAATACTATTAATAATAAAACAATTTTGTTTGGAGGGATTATCTTAATCCTTATTTGCATATGATAATTTTAAATTCGAATAATTCAGGTGCTATAGACTTTTTGTAAATCAATATTTTATCGACATTTCTTGCTTAATATTTTTTAATCCACATGAAAATGGAATTACTTTATATTTGTTTTTAAGATATTAATGACTACCTCTCACTCGTTAATTAAAGATGATATTAATGATAAAATTGAAGAATATATATTATTGAAAATGATTGATACATTATCATTAGGAATATGCTTAGAAATGCATAGGTCTATCAAATTTAAATTATTTAGAGAAAAAGATCTCGATACCAAAGATAACAGTAAATTTAATAAATATACAAACCATACAAATCTGCATTTAAATTCTAATATTCCTTCATTAGTATGTAAACCAAAAATTAAATCTAATTCAATTTTATCAGACAATTACTTTTATAATAGAACACGTACATTTACTAATAGTCAATATGATATGATTAAAAATTATCAATGTGTATGCATAAATTGTAATCGTAACATTGCTGCATCAAGGTTTGCTCCTCATTTAGAAAAATGCTTAGGTATGGGTAGAAATAGTTCAAGATTAGCAACCAAAAAAATTAAAAGATCAATTTATATAGAAAATACAAATAGTAATGATGAGTCATATGATGATGCTATTTTAAATAATGATAATTTAAGTGAATACATAAATGAATTTGATAATCCAAATTCAAATGTAACAGATGGTTCATCAACATCATCTATCTCAAATTCTAGCAATAAAATTAATAGTTTTAAAAAAAGTTTAAAAAAGAAAAAGAAATATAAGAAAGAAAAATTGGAGGACAAATCATATTTTGTTCAAGATGTTACAAATCATTCACCATTGGAAAATTTATTACAAAATGCCAATAAAGTGGATTATAAAAAGTGCCTAAATTTAAGATTCCAAAATTCATATAATCATATTCAAAATCCTTCACTAGATAATTTAAATTTGCCAAGTTCAATATATTCACCATCAAATATATATTTAATATCCCAAAGTAATTTAATGCAACAAAATATCTACAAAAATATAAAAGCTGATTCACAAAATCCAGATAAAAAATTTCTTTTGAAAAGTAATGAATATGATATCAAGGATATATCAGAAATGGAAGTTGGGGATATTGTTGTTTTAAAGCTGAGTTATCTAATTGAAAAGAAATTGATATCCTTACCATTAAATAAATATTTTCTTAAAAATTCAAATATATCTACTAATCTTGAATTTCAAAATTCAAATCCACTATTTCAAAGATGGATAGGAGAAGTTATTAAATTTTGCAAATCTTCAGAATCTCAACCCTTAGTGGATTTAAGATGGCTTGACATAATATTAGAAAATAAAATTGACAACTATAATTTATTCAAAAATTTTGCAGAAAAGCAGTGTCAATATTATCGACTTATCAAAAGTAATTATACTTCTATATATATTTTAATGTTTTTTATCTAGATAAAAAATTGTTAAACCAAACTTATCCAATAGAGAGTTCTAATCAGTTAACCTTAACCATTGATGCTAATGCTATAGCTATGCTATTCAAATTTGATTTGACTCAGACTTTATCAGAAAATTCATTAAAAGTTCTTGAACACTCCTCTATTAATTCTTGAATCAAAACCAATTACTTAATGTGCCTATATTACAATATTATTCCATTTCTTATAAATACTCAGACTATATTTATTTGTATTATGTAAAGTTTTAGTATGATGTTTGAACTAAATAGCTATAGTATTCAAATGTGCAATTATTTGTTTGCTTTCAAAATGAGGTCATCATAGGATCAGCTATTAATCACAAAATATTTCAATAATATATTTTCTACTCATTTAATTTAATATTTAACAAAAAAAATATTGCTCAAAAAATTGTAAAATTAGCTTCTAATAAACATCTTTTATTAGGTATTCTTGAGTTTGAAAGCTTTTATTTTATGTATAATATAATTTTGATTTAATTTTCTTATTATGAACTTGTTAAAATTATATAATAATGTAAATTATACATGCATTAATAAAATTATTAAAAAGTAATCTACATGTATACATATAAGGAGAGGGGAGTGGACGCTAGGCTACAATAATGTATTCATGTCCTTCTCTTATAGATGTATTTACATTTGAATTTTATAATAAATAATTATTTAATTTTTAATAAAATGGCTATGAAATTAGTGTTAAGCTTTAAAAAACATCTGTCATATTCCTCCAAAGATACAGATATATCAATTATTCGTTTTTAATGAATCGATTAATTTATCATTCATGTACAAGTTAGCCACGTCAAAATTTCCAAGCGGGGAAAATTCTTCAAACGAGAGAAAATTTGCCCACGTTCGGCCTGTGATGGCGTGATCTTTGTCCAGTCATATGGGCTTATTCAACTTCCTTTATTAACTTATTACCTTATAATTTTCTTTATAGTGCTTAAAAATTAAGGCGCTTTATTGCATTTTATTTAATGGTAGATATAGAAGAATAAATCTATTAGTTGGATTTTTTGTTAAGAAATTATTTCACGAATCTAAATTTGTTTCTTAAACGACATTGAAAATGAATCTTTTACATAAAATATGATTCTTTTTATTAATTGGCAATTGAACTTTGAAGATATCTATTTAAATGATATTAATAATATCAAATTTACTCATTTAAATTAATATAAAATAATTTTTTTGCTTTTACCCCCAAAAGAAAAAATGCCGAACTTGTGTGTCTTATTATTGATTAAATTATCCAGGCACGTAGCCATGAATTTTCTTCAAGGGGAAATATTTTTTTTAATATTGAAATGATTGTTTTTGAGCATTAAAAATTTATTAGAACTAATATAAATTTATTAAAACCAATCATATTAGAAAATATAATAATTTGGTACACAAATAATAAAATATTGGAAAACACAAAGTATTGAGAGCGAAAATAATACGTTTGAAAAATATTATTGGTATGTAAATCACAGTAAAATATAAAATTAAACATTTTATAATGATTTAAAAAGTTAGTCAAATTATCGTTCATAAATGAATTTGATCTTTGCGATTGGGCCAATTGTTTTGTGTTCGGGATTAGATCTCGATGAGTAAAGCTAGTCTATTCAATCAATATTAAGATGTCATAATTTTAATATAGTTTTTATTCTCTGTAGAAAAAAAGGTCCTCTCTTTGTGCATGTATTAATTTTTATCATAACCAAATAGTTATTTTAATATATTTAGAAAACTTATAAAATATACCTTAAAGTATGTAACACTCTCACTGTATTTCTTGGAGAATTATCTACAAAAATGAATCTCATGCCATTTAAATTCTGAAATTAATTGACTTTCGGATACATTTTTATCCTATGAAAAAAATTTAGCATATTTAATTTTTCAATATCAAGATTTGATATATCCTCAGATTAGAGGGAGTTATAAGATATAGTATTAAATTTGAGAGCTAATTGGTAAATCACAAATCGTTCCATGATTTGAATCAAAATTAAATCCAAAAGTGGAATAAAAATGGTTATTTTATAGTAATTCTCAATTCAGTCCACCTTAATATTGGAACGATATGGTTGTCGGTGAAAATCGAGACTTGTAAAAAATCTTTCACTTTAATAATCACATAAATCTCGATAAATTCCTGATCGATATTATTTTATAAGTCAACTACTAAATTGTCTATCGGTTTCAGCAAATCCAACCAAAATCTAGTTCTCCGTCCTAAAAACATCTCCTCTGGCGACGGCTCCTTTTCTACTGTTGTTATAGTACGCCACGGCCACCCACATCTCTCCGCCTCCATCCTTTGACTTTCTCAACCAGTTCTTTACCACCGCTACCATCCTCTCCGCTTGTCCATTCGAACTCGGATGATATGGATGCGCTAAAATGTGTTTCGCTCCAGTTTCTGTACAAAAGATTTTGAATTGTCTACTAATGAAGGCAGGACCCCCGTCCGTTACCACTATCATAGCAACTCCAAATTTGGCCCATAAATTTTTTAATATTTTTATCACGATCTGTGTTGTTAATCCTCTTACTTCCTCATATTCTACCCATTTCGAAAAAGCATCTACCACTAATATATATATTTTATTTTCGAAGTCAAAGAAATCCAAATGGATGCGCTCCCAAGGCTGCACTGTCTTCGGCCACACACTTTCTTTATCTTTTCGGGACATCGGAGCCCAAGAATTACATCTAACAGGTTCGACTGATATTTTCAATGTCTCGGTTCATTCCTAGCCACCAAACATATTCACGTCCCAACTGTTTCATTCTTTCCATTCCTTGATACCCAGCATAAATCATCGCCATTACCGCTTCTCTTAGTTTGGGTGGTACAACACTCCTATTTCCTCGCACCAAACACTCATCTATTATCGCTAATTCCTTTTGTACATATTTATAGGTCCTCTCTCCCTCCCGTCATGTTTTCTGTCCCTTAAGGCACTCTTTGATCCGTCTCAATTCCTTATCTTTCAAATGCCCACTTTTAATCACTTCCCATGTTACTGGACCGCCTCTAGATACTCCTGCCATGATCTGAATCAGCCCTTATTCAATTACTTCCTCCCTTTCCTCTTGTTCTTTCTCCTCCAAATCTTCTCCAGCTTCGCATCTGGATAAAATGTCTGGTAAATAATTTTCCCTCCCTCGTCGATATTTCACTTGTACATCAAAACTGCCTACGAGCAATAACCATCTCTGCAGCCTAGGCGATAGCATTAGTTCCTTGTTGTCCTTCCGGAATAGATGCACCAACGGCTTGTGATCGGTGTAAATAATAAATCTGCCCCCGATCAGATATTCACGGCACTTTGTTAACCCGAAAATAACGTCCAATGTTTCTTGCTCAATCACTGAATACCTGGTCTCTGCCGCTCTAAATTCTTGAGAAAAATAACACCGGCCTTTCTACCCCATCAATAAAATGCAACAGCGCTCCTCCTACACATTTATGAGATGCATCCACCGTCAATATCACCTCCAATTCATTATTAAAACACACTAAAACGGGTTCCTTTCCTATTCGACCCCTCAATTCTTTGAAGGACTTCTCTTGTTCATTTGTCCAATCAAATTTTCTTCCTTTCTTTAATAACTGATATAAGGGCGCTGCTATTTGAGAAAATCCTTTCACGAACCGATGATAATAATTTACCATCCCCAAAAATGCCTGTACCTCTGCTTTATTACTGGGTCTTATCATATTATTAATTCCAGTCATATTTCTATCCACCGGCCGCACCTCCTTTCCTGTGATCATGTGCTCCAGATAAGTCACTTCGGTCACTCCCAACCAGGGTTGCCATATCTCCCCACATCAGCAGGAGACTCCCGCAATTTTTTAGTTTACACTCAGACATCTCTCTCCCGCAAAACTACCGCATTTGGAAATCTCCAGCAAAAATCTCCCGCAATTTTCTAATTTTTCCCTCAATTATTTTTTTAGTATTTTAACATTATAAATAATAATTTTGAGAGACATTAATTGATGATTTTTATTTTAAAATAATTTTAAATATTTATTCGAAAAATGTCTAAAAATTTCTTTCTATCCTGTTTTATTTTTATCCAATAATAAATCAACATCGTTTCATTCATATAAGTCAGTACAGGGGAGTATATCAACATCGATTGCAATACAAAAATATTCTCAATTAATAAATAATACAGATGCAACTACATCATCTATCATGTAGTTCAACATTCACAGAGCTATATCATCACAATGTGGGTCATATCTTTTTCTCATGATATTAACGACTCCAATATAAGTGCAAACCTTACTTGTGGCAGTACAAAAATGAGCAAGGCTATCACAAGTGTTTTAGTACCTAAATCCTAGAGGTCAATTCTAGACCATTTGAAAGATGGGCATCCATATTCAATTCTAACATATGCATCTAATAAGGGAAATATTAAAACATTTCCTTTGATCCTTCGCTATTTCAACAAGAATATGAACATTTCCATAAAACTGTTAAAATTTTTTCCTCTGATAGTGAAAAATTCAACGATGTAGCTAGCCATATAATGGTAAATATAGCTGATTCAGGGTTATCAATGATTTGCATGTCCGCTTTTTGCGCTGATAATGCCTCTAAAAATTGGCTAAAACCAAATATATAATATGTCATGCCAGGAATTTTATAAATATCTCAATAACGACGGTAAACATTTAGTTCTATTATTTAAATCTCAAAAAAATATAATTAAGTTTTAGCAATGGCGCCATAAAATTTATTGTCAATTTTTAACTGTAAAGATGAACACATCTGCAGCATAATTTTGTGAATCTTTGTTATAGATTCTTCTGATTGCAACTACACATTAACAGCATGTAGTAGATTTCCTACATGTGAAATCATTTGCAAATATACGTCTATTCATTATTGAAAAAAAATTTTAAAATATTAGTAGGACAGCTTTTATAATCTTTATTTAAGAAATATTTTTTTAAAGGTTTATAAAATTATAAAATTTTAAAATTCCGATGGCGGGTATTGGGAACATATCGCAACCAACATTGTGCTGACTCAATTCTGTAAATACACTCTGTTTCTACCAAATTCTGAGGCATTATCAGATCAAAAAGCTGACATGCAATTTATTGTTAATCTCGAATCTGCTATATTTACCATTATATGGTTAGCTATGTCTTTGGATTTTTCACTATTTGAGGGGAAAAATTTAATAGTTTTATTGAAACGACCTTAATTTTGATGAAATAGCGGAGGATCGATTATCTGTTAGAATTGCATATGTATGCCCATTTTTCAAATCGTCAAGAATTGACGTCCTGGATTTAGGTCCTAAAACATTGATGATAGCCTTGCTCTTTGTTCTACAAGTATAGTTTTCATGTCGTTAAATATTATAGGAAATGATTCTACCAACATTGTGATGATAAGTATCTCTGTGAATGTTGTACTACAAGATAAGTGATTACAATTACCGCAACTGTAGTTTCATCTGTATTATTTCTTATTTTTGGAATACCTTATTATGTATTTAAAGTGATACGTGATAAATAAGCGCCTATCCTTATAATGTAATATATACACACACACGGTAGATTTCCAATTACGGTCGTTTTACGGGACATTTGCATAAAATATATTTTTAATTGTAAAATTAAAATCGTTTTTTTTAATAAAATTTTATCTTGTTTACATTCTTTTATATTTAAAAAAGATCATTGGTTTTTTTTTATAAATTAATATATTATAAATCAAGATGTTATTTTATTTTAAAAAATAGTTGCCGACTTTGTATTTATATAAACTAAATAAAAATTAATAGGCGGATAATTAAATCAATTCAAAATCCTGCCCGCAAAAATTTTTTTTAAACAATTTTTATATTTCTACTGCAATTTTTATATTTCTCCCGTATAATACCAAATTTCTTCCGCAATTTGAAAATTTTGACCTGGCAACCCTGCCCTCAACACGCTTTTCTCCCCGCTGGCTCTCAATCCTTTCTCCTTGATTCTTCGAAATACTTCCTCCAATCTCTGTTCATATTGTTCGGGATTTTTCCCCGTCACCAAGACATCATCCATATAGTAGAAAACTCCCTCCATTCCCTGGAAAACCGCAGCCATCGTAAGCTAAAAAATGGGAGGTGAAACACTAAGTCCGAATGGTAATCTACAAAATGTAAACAATCCTTTCGGCGTAGTAAACGCTAATAACTTCCTTACCTCCGGCCTTACCCGCAGTTGCAGATATGCATTAGTGAAATCCACTTTAGAAAAATAAAGGCTTCCCTTTAGACTAGCCAGTATTTCCTCGATTCTTGGCAAGGGATATTTAACCTCCACTACCCACGGATTTACTGTAACTCGAAAATCTGCGCATAAACGAAGTTTCCCATTGGCTTTTTTCACAGGCACTAAGGGAGTCGCCCATTCACTGTACTCCACCGGACATACACTACCTTTCCTTACCCATTGATTCAACTCCAATTCCACTTCCTTTCTTCATTCAAACGGTATCCTCCGTAACGCACAAAACTTCGAAACGCAACCATCCTTCAATTTAATATCTACTTCATAATCTCTGAGGCATCCTAAATCTTCATTGAAAATTTCCCGATAACTTTGTACTAATCTCCGTACTCCTTCTTAATTTCCTCCCCTCATTTTCTTTAATTATCAACTCTTCTCCCCTAGGCCTTGTTTCCTCCTCCATTACCGCCCGATTTCCTTTCATCTTTGTATTCGTCATTTCTCGATTTTCCTACCTGGTGGTATTCATCACCATTCGATTTTCTTTCTGTGATTCCTCCTTCCTCTTTACCTTTCCTTCCTCCTCCCTCCTTGTAATATCACGACTCCTCTCATTGGCTACAATGTGCCTAGGGTAATTTCTACCTACTTCTTCTCTTGAATCATTATTTACGGCATCTCCCCCGGAATTTCTTTCCCCCATTTTACCTTTAGGATTCTTCTTCCCTATTTCGCCCTTGGAATTATTCTCTTTTATTTCTATTCTATCATTACCTCCCTTTATTTTCTTCGAATTATTTCCACTTATTTTGCTCCTTGAATTATCGCTCCTTGAATTATCGCTCCTTGAATTATTGCTTCCGGAATTATTTTTCCTTAGTTCGCTCCTTAAATTATCGCTTCTTGACTTATTTTGATGGGTTTCGCTCCTTGAATTATCGCTCCTTGTTTCGCTCTTGGAATTGCTCTTCCTTGTTTCGTTTCTTAAATTATCACTCCTGGTTTCACTCCTAGAGTTATTTCTCCTTGTTTTGCTCCTTAAATTATCGCTCCTTGTTCCGCTCCAAGGAAGATTTTCGCTGGTTCCCTCATTAAACATGGTCTCAATTCCAGGCAACACATTTTCTCTCAAGGTCATAACGGCTTATTCCTCACTCGTTATTGGTACAAATATTCCCCACCATGAAAATACTCCCCAAAAACTATACCATGGACTACCAGTGATCGAATCCCAACCCATCACCGCTTCTATATTCCGATTAACAATCCATAAATCCAATATTTCAACCCTTTCTTCCGATGTCGCCACTATCTCCACCCTACCCATGGCTGCCAACAAGGTTCCCTCAAACTGCCTTATTCTCAACCCCTCATTCTCTATCCTTTCCCCAGGCTAATTACTTTGATATCCATTATAACCAATTACCGAAATGGCAGCTCCTATATCAAATAACATAGGAACCATTCTTCCCCCAAATTTATCATGACTCTAGGACACGGATCATGGACTATCCCCTCTTGTAGCATATATACCATCCCCTCTTGTAACATATTTACGCATTCCTCTTTATTCGTTTTTCGCTGATTAAATCCCTCCTCCATACCCCCTAACCATCTCGCCCGACCTGTACTGCAATTTTTTCACTATCATATAGTCACAAATTCTCACAATCCCTCGCAACATGCCCACCCTTTCGGCAATTCCATATTTTTCTCCTCTAACTCCCCGATATTAATTGCCCGTCCCTCTTCCTCTCTCTCCCGCTCAATAGTCCTCACATTTAAAGCGTTTGGATTCATCCCTCTCTGTGGGAAACCCCCTTTGTTATTGTAATTGTTCGTATTACATTCCTCCTTTGCTCAAACCTACCACAACCAGCACATCTTAATCTCTCTTGTCTATCCGGACAGTAAGGGGTTATATGTCCTAATTTTCCACAACCAAAACATTTCGCCTCCCTGCAATCTCTGAGCATATGACCTGGTTTACCGCAATTATAACAACTCATTACCCCTCTTTCCCGCGATTCAAAATTTTGTCTTAATTCTACTTTCCTTCCCCGAGAATTTTCTCTGGACTCTCTATACGGTCGGAATATTTGATTATTTCCAAAATTTTGTTTCTCAGAGCTATATCGTTCACCCTTTAATTAACTCCTGAACCGGTAACCAAGTAACTTTGCCCATCATATCCTCTTCTCCATTATGTCCCTCAATGGTCAAAGTTTGTCCTTTAATTCTTACGCTGCGACTCCTTCTCATTCTCCTGCCCCAAACTAAACTACATATCCATATTAATAGTATAACCAACGCTCCAAAAATATTATACTGAACCGCCCAGTATTTAACAAATTTTAAACTTTCCATCACGGCGTTATAAAAAATTTGTGATCAATTTCAAAATAAAAATCTTGGTTATCTGTAATGTCAACAAGTAAGATATTATAAGTAACGTAAATAAGCCAATGATGCATATATGCATGCACACTTAATAGGTCAATGGATGAAAAAACTCTTGTAAATTTCTTGTAATAGATTTATGTTTAAAAATATTTGGGCAGCACTTTCTACAACTTTCGATAAATATCGTCTAACAGCTTTTAAAATTCCAAAAATTTAGGAAGCACTTCCGTGTATCTAGCTAATTTTCTAAAATTTTGGGTAAATTTGTCTAGCAGATTTATATATGGAAAAATTTGGGCAGCATTTCCTATCTGGCTTAATTTCTAAAATTTTGGGTAAATTTGTATAATAGATTTATAATTGAAAAATTTTGGGCAACACTTCCGTGTACTGGGTTATTTAGTAAAATTTGCGCGAATTTCTAATATATTTATTTTCGGAAAAATTTGCGCAGCACTTTCATGTAACAGGTTTTTAATGGCCAAAAATTTGGGCAGCACTCCCGTGGCCTTTTAATTATATGGTGCCAGCCGCAAAAAAGAAAAGAAAAAGTAATATATTTTAATATTTTTTAAAACAAAAATGTCTTAACCTCATCCCTTTCATTTATTATATGCCTTAATTTTATACTATTTAATTTTTTTTAAATTCTCTTTTTAAATCCCTTATTTTGACCTTTTAATTATAAGGTGCCAGTCGCAAAAAACGAGAAGAAAAAGTAATTATATTATTTATTTTTTTCCATGGGGACTCGGAACGAATAAAACGTGGGGATTCAAGATCTTGAATCCCCACGTTGAGATTTCGAATCCCACATGATTCCATATCCCAATACGAACAAATAACCCATTTATAATAATATTCATAAATTCTCATAACTTCCGCTAAATATTTTTTTAAAAAATATTTGTTGTATATAATAAAACATTTGTAATACATTTCAAAAAAAAAAAATCATCCATATTATATCTAATAATATATCGGTTTCAGCTACTGTTTCAGATGATTCTGATATTTATATAAGGGCATACAAAATAGGCTCTTCTGGATCCAAAAAATGCTACAGCTTTATGTTGAAGGCTCCATCTTGTGCAGGCTTTTTGGTTACTTTTTTCCTGTAATTAGCGAATTCTGTTTACTTAGATTTCTAAACATTTCGTACATTTTAGTAATTTTATAATCATGGTTATTTGTAGAGATAAATTAAATAGAATTTTTTTTTGGTAGGTAAAATATTCTTATATCCAAAAGTGTTTAAGGTTTAACAAATGTAAGAAAATTAACTTCAAATTTTCGTGATAAAATATTATTATATAAATTAATTTAACTTTTTGCTAATATTTAGAAAAGAATTAACCTATTTGAAATAGAATACTTTGCAATTCACAATTCATTAAGACCTTTTATATTTTTACAAAATTTCTTCAAACATCTATTATAATTTTATTTAAGATAAAACAAAAAAAACTATTGATAATAAAATATTTATTTAAAAAAATATACAAAAACAATTAAAAAGGTGAGATGGGGTAATTTGAATTGCTAATGGAACCATTATCATGAATAATAAATAATGCAATTGCTCTAATAAAAACCATCGTAACGACTTGCTTTAGGTAAAAGGCTTAATTAGGATCGCCACATGTTTTATCTAATTTTTACCGAATGTGATAAATTTTAGGAATTTCTTTTTATGATTGGTTTTTTTTGTTATTTATGCTCTCAATAATTTTCTGGGCTGATAACAATTGCGTGTAGATTTGATTTTATGATTATATATTAGTGATCTGCATCGAGTCTAATTTTTCTAGCTCGGCCCTGCTCGATGAAACTTTTTTCAAAAAGATTTGTCTTGCCCGATCCCGAACAATTTTTTCTTATTTCTCCCAAAAAAGTAGGGAGGGATGCGAACCCGGAAAAATTTTTCCCGGGTTTTTTAAGGTTTAAAAAAATAGGTGGGTTCGATTCGGGTTTAGTTCAGGGAAATATTTTTGAACCCGGGTTTGGTTCCGGGTTCAGATCGGGTTTAAGAGTTTTTAAATTGATAAAAAAATATATTCTATATTTAAATCATAATTAAAAAACTAGACATAAATTTGGTATAAAAAATAAATTTTTTATTTTATTTATAGGCAAAATATAGTTAAAAATACAAAGCATAGTCATGTATAGATTTAGAAAATTTTATTTAGACGTATTTCTTTAAATTAACAATATCCAATATAATAATTTTTACTTTGACTTGTTCAATTTCATTTTCTTCTAATTAATAATCATTGAGAATAAGCTAAAAATTAAAAATAAATAGTGTAAATGAATTTATTGTTTAAAATTTATTAACAATCCATAGAACACTTCACTTAATTAGAAATTTGAAAATATTATAAAATGTCAATTAAATTTTTAATATTTGTTTTACAATTATACAAAAATAATACACTGAACCCCGGTTCAAATAAAATTCCCGGGTTCAGTTCGGGATTTTGAAAATTTTATAAACGGGGTTCAGGTTCCGTTCAGGTTCAGATTATTTTCCCAAAAACCCGGGTTTTCTTCTCCGGATTCGAGTTCGGTTCGTACCCTGGCAAAAATGACCCAAAATAAAAATTATTTGTCAGCCCCCGATTTATTTAAATATAGAAAAAAAAATTTATTGAAAAATATTAGCTCCTAGTTTCTTGCAAGAATTTTAAAATATATCAATTTATTTGAGAAAATGTAATGTATCATTCGAACCAAAATTATTATTTTTAAATAGGCCCGACCGCTCGTTCGAGCCCGATACGGGCTGGGCTGTGATTTTCATATCTCCAATATACATCATTTAGTCAGTGACGAAGCTTTCATAGAAGAAAGGGAAGTATTGTCTTGAAATTTTTCCTACAAAATTCTTAAATAAACTTATAATATAATCTTTATAATATGTTTAAAAAAACTTACTTTTACTATGTCAAAAAAATACTAACTACGTTAAAATATTTACTATTGTATTTATTACATTAAAATAAATATACATGAGGGAGGCAAATTCTATATTGCTTATTTTTTTAATAAATAAAGAGAAATCATGCGAATGTATTGCGTAATTTTACGTTTAAAAAAAAAGCAATGGGGAAGCTAATATAAAAAATGCTTATTTTTTTAATAAATAAAAGAGATTTTTTTTTATATTATATTTTCTTCCTTACTTTTTTTAAATAAATTTTTTTTTCTTTTTAAAAATTAATAATTAATGTTAATAATTGCAATTTAGTGCTGTAAAGTAACGTCAAAAAATAACGTCGTTACTAACTTCGTTATTTTTTTTGAAGAAAAGGAACCACATTAGTTACCTTTTTCTAGAGGTAATGGTAACGAGTCTCTTTTTTTTTCGAGTAACGGAACGCAAAAAGTTACTGGTTACTTTAAATTTTTTCTTAAAAATATTAAAAAGGGAAAAACATATTCTATTGTACTATGAAATTACTTTTATTTATTTTTTAATATAAATAATTTTTGCCGATTTAATTCATATTAACTACTATTTCTTCATTTTTATTTAGAATTCTCGTTAAATTTTCAATCGGATGCGAATCTATTTAATATTCAATAAAAGTGATTGTTAATATATTATTGAATTTTATAATTTATTTTAAGAATATTATGTCCATAGTACTTACTTCTTCAGATGAAAATGATTTAACCCTTCCCTTTCCCCAATTATATTTACACCAATAAAGAAAATTCTGGGTCTACACTTTATAAATGTAAATTATGTCCCAACGCAAATATTTCAATCTCAATGTCCAGCACTTCAAACTTAAAGCATATTAAGGTAAAAAGATAAATTAATATATTATTATTTTAAACAATACTTTAATAATAGAATATTAAATCATGAGTATTAAAAAAACCATTAAAAGAAGTATTACTACATAATATTTTGAAAAGCTTAATCATGATATTAAAATATAAGCAATTAAATTATACTAGAATACCGCTGGGAACCAACATTAAAAGCCCAAGATTAATAAAATATTGGTATTAGTTCAAAATATTATATTGGGTTTAAACAATATCTTCTATATCTTGTTTTAGTATTGCTATTGGTTTAAGTTCAAATTGTTAATAAATTTAAATAAAATAGTGATTTAAGAAACTTTGATTGAATAAATATGTATTTTTAAATATATAAATGTGGAATAAAACTATGAAGCAATATTGTTTTAGAGAACTGAACTTAGATAATTTTTCTGATTCCTTCTTAAATGTTAATTCTGAAAAGGATAAGAAATTGAAAAATTACATTTGGCAATCATAATTTCAATTTTTATTGTTTTTCTTGACAATATGCTTAGTGAGGGATTAAAAAATGCAATTAAATTTTTAAAAGATTTATCTTCAATTATTAAAAAAGTTAAGCTATTTTTAACTATTTTTAATTAAAAATTCAAGCATTAATATATTTTAATTAAAAAATTATAGGTACCCTCAAAAATGAAAGAGATTAATGAACATATGAATAGTAATATAAAAAAAAATTGAAGCCAATTAACTCACACTTATTGAGATGCAGAATCCATCAACATTAAACATAAAAATAGCACAATTAGCTGTTGATGAATTAGTTTTTAATTTTGTAATTGAAGAATTACAACCATTTCCCATTATAGAATGCACTGCATTTATTAATATTATCAAAAAATTGCAGCCAACTAAATATGTGATGTCTAAGGCTACCCTCGTATTAAAAATTAGCATATGATAACATGGTAAAGAAATTAGCGGATTTATTGTGTATCCCAAAAATTTTCGGTACACTATGGATTCTTGGTCAGCTTATCATCGGTAAAATATATTTTTTATAGATTGATAATATT